TCTGAAGTCAAATGTTAAAACTTTAACCCCCCGCCTTTTTTTTTTCTTTCTCAATTTATCGTTACAGTGCCATGCATGACGAATCCAACGGGTACTTCAAAATCAGACACATGTACTAAACTCTGCAACTCTTTTAGGAGTTCGATGTTTAGTGAATTTAGATTTATGGACTGTGTGGTCCCCAGTTGACAAATTACATAGACACTTATCCATATGTAATTTTAACATTGTGATAGTGGAAACCTTTCTGATGTGTAATTTTCTGTTTGTAAAAATTGATTTACTTGGGTAATTTGGTTTAATTTAAAATTAATGTCATTCAAAGTATCCAAAATTCATATACATGACCTGTTTGAGGAAATGCCAAAATTAGCATGAATGTTAATATGAGTAATATGTTTATTAATATTTATTATATATTATTTTGAAATCCAGTTGAACTATTGACCCAGTACTTCAACCGAGTTGATAATCTGTCCGAATTTTAAAACACTGGTATTATTCCTGTACCAAACATTTTTTCTATGAAAGAAAATTTTTTGGATTTGAAAGAAAATATGAAAAAATATTTGGATTCAAATGGAACCAATTTTTTTCAATTTGATACATTCCAAAGAAATTTGGTACAAGAGTAATACCAAAACAAATTTCTTCTTTTTGTCGAGGAGCTAGCTATAAAAGGGAAAAAAAGGAAATCAAAAGGTAAGAGGGATTCATTCCATTGGTCATTTTTTTCTCATATTGATGCAAAAAAATCTTCTTATGTCACTTATTATAATTATGTACTTCTGATAGTACATAATTATAATAAGAAAATTATCTTTTTTCTCTTTTCACGTTAATCGACAATTTCTAAAGAGAGAGAAACAAAAAATAATTTTAATATTATAACTATATACTCCCCAAAATATATTGTTATAATAGGTGACATGAGATAAATTTTTTTGTAAAAACATAAGAATATGATTTTCCTTCCTTCCATAGATGAAAAAAAGAGAAAAATTGGGCGCAAATCAAAATTACTTTTGATTTCTAAACTATGGTGAGCCTGTAAGATATTAAAATATTATTTGAATTTTTACCATAATAATTTTTTGTTTGCAAAATATTATTAGAATATTATTTTGAACCAGCCTTATGGGCAAGCTCTTAAAGACCCAACTAAGGTATTATATCTCTTTCCATCTATAATGAGAATCTTAAACCAAATTGTAAAGGAACTTTTACTCCCTGCACGGCTCACCGCAAATAGATTGGTAGTTTGTTATATCATCATAGTAGTGAAATCTTGAGCATAATGGTTATAATTTATTTTTTGCAATATTTTTCACCTATATATATTCCCATCACTCATTGAAGAGACATTTTGCGTTCATCAGTTTTATAAATAGTTACTTTTTTGAAATATTAAGCCACAATACTCTCACACATTCCTCTCAGCCTCCTGGGAGATATACACACGGTGACTTCTCCAAAAGTTTTGGTGAGCACCTCTATATTAATACACTTTTTCCATCAAGAGATACAAACCAAACTCTCCTATACAAACAACTCAAATACAATTATAGATTTGCAAAAACATTACAACTAAAATATAAATATAGCTTAACGATTAATTAACAGGCTTATTAAATATGAAAAATCTTTGCTATGGTGTTTCGGTGGGTACAAGTGGGAACAGTGACTGAAGTGTCATTTTTAGATAAATTTTTTACCTAAATGTCATACGAACAATATTTTTTATGAGATTGCCTCGTGGCATCATTCGCTACAACTCGTAACAAATTATGTTCGCCAATAATTTTGTGACACGTGGCCATATTGCAGACCAAATTCACTATCATTGATAGCGAATTATGACACGTCAGTTTTTTTATGTAAAAGTGTGACATGTGTCACAAAATCATTGGTGAACATAATTTGCTACCAGTCGTAGCGAATTATGCCACGTGGCAGTCTAACAAAAAGTACTGTTCGCGTTTTGTCAAAAAGTGACATTTTGATCACTGTTCCGTATAAGTGTCTAAGGGTACATGATTGCGATCTTAATATTAATTTTATTACGTGAACAAGACTAAAAGATGAGTAAAGGAATTTAGGTTGTGATAATGACAAGTAAAATATTGAAGAAATACAAGAAAAAAGTGTACACAAATTTTAAATAAAGCTTATCTAGACGAGGTGAAAGAGATTGGTTCTCCAATTGGGGTTCACCATTCTTAACTAAATTTCTCTCTTGATATAATGATACACATATAATATTTAATAAATAATAATTAAATTTAATTAACTATGAATATAACAATCTTGGACAAAATTACCCCTTCTCCAATATAATTGTTTGATTATACTGAAAAATTTAAATTTATAATATTAATTATTAATTAATGTTAAGAACTTAAGAGTGATGGTTGCTTATTAATTATATATGTCTTGTTTAGTTCTTGTTTTGGAGATCATAGTAATTAAAATCAGGATTTTACATAAAATCAGAAGGAGAATATTAAATCGTAAAACGTAAAATCCTAATGTAAGAAAATCGTAAAATCATAAAAGCGTTTGGAATTTTGATAAAATCATTTTGATTGAAAAAAATCGTAATATCGTGAAATCTAAGATTTAAATCGGGATTTTAATTACCATGTTAGAAATTACTATAATATTATTGCACGCCCTCGAGCTTTTTATCTAAAGATGTAAATGGTTTAGGCCTGCCTACGTCTATATTAGGCCAGACTTAGCCTGTTACAAATAGTAAAATAGAACAGACCATGAATTTTTTTTTGTACATATCGGGCCAATAAGCCTACATGCTGGCCTATATCATTTTATTTATTTTAAATAATATAAAATTATTATTTTAATAAATTTGAATAATAAAGTAATATTATTGTAGTTATTCTTTTAATTGTTGAATGTTTAATAGGCTTAAACATGATTCGAAGGTTGCGTTGTGTTGTATTTTTAATTCCAACTATTAGATTCGTTAGATTACGATTATCATTCTTTTGAGTTCAATATAAATAAATGAGATATCTTATATTTATTTGCAAAATTGATGGATATTATAAGTTTATCTTTATTTTTATGTTATATTATTAAATATTAAATATAATATACACTACATAAATTAAAAATAATATGTAATATTAAAATGTGTCCTAACGTGTCAAAATCTAACATTTTTTATAATTAACGTATCGAAGTATCATATAGTATCATATTCCATATCTCGTATCGGTGTGTTCTACAAGTTACGTGCGCCTTTGTGCTCATGTCAGCAAAAAGGTAATTTTTAACATATCGGAATTTTTTTTTTTTAATCCTTGAAGAGATTAAATACAATTTGAACTAAGATACCTGTTTCAAAAAAAGATTTTATTAATTTCATATTAAAGGAAATAAGTTATGTCATGTCATAGAGACAAATTTGTGGACTCCATCACTTGAAAAAAAAAAGAAAAAAAAAAGATGACACAATTATCGAAGAGTGTGTAGGAAGAAAAACTTACCTCATATAGTATGAGAATAGTTTTTCCCTTAAAAAATAATGGGCATCATTCATTTTTTTTGAGTAAAAGCTGGTTGAACTGTTGATTTTATTATTGTTATAAAAAATAGTGTGTAGCGATCAATTTTATAATCTTCCCGCATTAAAAGTACTAGTCGGGGTAATAAATTATTTTATTGTATTTGTTATTTAAAAAAAATTAAAAAAGGTATGAATTAAAATTTATTTTTGTATCTTGTTAAATTTAATAAGTGAAAAAAATAAATATTAATAAAATAATACATTGATGGAACGAATTACTATTATACTTGAATTAAAACCAAGCACATGTTTCTACCAAAAAAAAAAAACCAAGCATATGTAATAAAAATATTAAATGATGATTATTATAAAATGAAGTAATATTGGCAAATCAAATTTAAACATATAAAAGAAGGGTAATCAACTTCTGTGCAAAAAAAATTAGTCTCATGTTACCTAGAGTATGTAGTCATAGAGAAATAATTTTCTTATGTTGTAGGAAAAAAATTGTCTCGTGTAGTAGAAACAAAATTATAAGTGGGACCCACAGGTAAGAAGAGAGAAAAAAATAGAGGTAGGATCCACCTCTCTTTTGTGTGTGTAAGAAATTGGCTTCTCTTATGTAATATGGGATAAATATAACCCATAGTTATAATATTAAAGCTATTTTTTTTCAGAAGTTGTTGACTTGTGTTAAGGAATAATATAAATTATTAAAAATATCATCACCTAAATTTATTCTTTATATGATATCAGAGTTTTAGTAACCACAAGGCCGCGATTTCGATTATCACTGCCCTCACTTTCTAATGGAATTGAAATAAGCATGCAGTAGCCAAAAAATTGGATCTATGTAAAATCCATGTTTTAAGTTCAAATAGTTCTTACGTGAGGAGTATGTTAGAGAATAATATAAACTATTAAAAATATCATTACTTAACACATGAAAAAAAATAATTTTAATATTATAATTATATAATTTTTGAAATACATAATTATAATGGATGACATGAAAATTTTTCTTTTTCAGAAAAAGAAAAAAAAGGACCCATAAAAGAAGTAAAGAAAGCACTATTCTCTGTCTTGCTTTTTGTGTTGTTTACCTTTCCTATTTGACTAAAAAACAAAGAAATCACTATTCATTTTCAAAAATTCTTACGCACTTAAAATTTTAATACATTATTTCAACTAACTAAAAGTATAATCATTATCATAAAAATTAAATTTGTAATATGAAATAAATTAAATAATCTGAGCAATTAAGTAATGTTTTCTTTGCTTGGAATTATCAAGTGACCTAAGAACTGTTACAATAATATTTGGCCTGTGACGCAGGTTGATGTCTTTCTGTACTCTCTTATTGGCTGAACATGCACGAGACGGAAGATAAATATTGCATTCTTTGTCTTTCTCTCTCTCTCTGTGTCTTTCTCTTCCACTCTCTCTCTCTGTATCCACTCTACACTTCCCCTCTCTCTCTCTCTCTATCTCTACCTCTACCTCTCATTCACGAGATCTCCCTCTTCTTTCAAAAAGCAAATTAATCTGAAGCTGTACTATCTCTCATCTTTGTTTATCTCTATGCCTACATATCTAGCTTGTCCTTTTCACTGCTTCTTTGTATATCTATTTTGCTACTTCTGCACAACATAGACCTATTTGAGTTTTGTGCAAGCAAGGGTTGAAAATTTGCTTCTTATAAAAGATCTTATCCTACCCTCTTCCACCCATCTTTAGAAAGTTTCTTTCTTTCTTTATTTTCTCTCGGTATTTTCCATATTGATTCCCCAGCTTCTGATATCACCTATCACCTTGACTTTTTTTTTTTTTTCTTTTTTTTAATATTTCAAAGTGCACAGAAACATAATCAATCAGAAAAAGCATTTAACTATGGATTCGAATTCCCGTTATCATGTCCAACAGCACCAACCAAATTCTGGGTTACTTCGCTTTCGGTCAGCACCTAGTCCAGTTCTTGCAAATTTCAAACAAGGCGAAGGTGTTTCTAATAAGGTTAACCCCTGGGAGGATTCTGAACCAGAGAGGTTAGTTTTGAGGTTCTTGAATTCCGGTGACAGCAGCAACGATACAGATACAGCTTCAGCTTCGGCTAGCTTACGAGAATTCGTGCCTTGTAATAATAAATCACCCAACGAATCATCATCGTCACCACCTCTGAGTCGAATGAATTCCCAACAAGGGTATAGTTCTTCTGGCAAACCCTCTCGCTATCCGAGGCATAACTCTATTTCAACGGATCCTCGTGGAAGCTTTAATTCCCATCTTCTTAGGCAGAGTAGCTTCCCTTCTGGCCATTTCTCCAACAATATCTCCTTTCAGAATGGTACTTTACTTGTTATGTTCTGCTGCTTGTACTGGTTTTGTTCATTGATTTCATTTAGACCACTTTTATTATGTCTTTTTCTTTTCTTTTTTTTAGCTATGAAATATATTTTATGCTGAACGAAATAAAATTTGTGGTAGATAGTAGTAGCTAGGCTCACGAAATTAGATAACAATGATTTCCTTAAGGTGGTTAGATATAAAACCTTTTATGAGTATTTCATCTGATGCCCTTAAGGTTTTGGACTAGTTAGTTTTTATACAATGGAGACATCTTTATCCAATTTATTGTTGTTTAGAATTTGATGATCCAAATTGTGTATACACGGGAGGTAGATGAAACCTTTTAAACTCTTCAGCAGTAGTGGAGCTAGGGAAGGGGATCGCCTCCCTCAATTTTATTAAACTTTTGCTCCACTTTGTCCTTATAATTTCTCGAGTATGCAAAAATCTCGAAGAGTTCTTCAAATCTGACACTTTATTGTATTGCCCTAACCTAACGTGAATTTTGCTTTCCTCGCCACTTCTTTCAAAATTTTCTGACTCTATCATTGCTCGAGTATTGGTATGACTCATATTTCGCATTTAGATGAAGACTCTTGTTGACGGGGTCAGTAGAAAGCTATGAATAGCTTTGTTGCTAGGGTTTTCTAAATCTTATTTATATTCCTTTGTAAACCGAGTGACTTGTAATTAGTGGATGAGGTGAATATAGTCTACATTAGGTGAACCAGGACAAATCACCGTGTCTATTTTTTCTTCCCCTTCTCTTTTCATTTTCCGATTTGTGTTATGTGATTGTCGATTTCCAACGTTGAGAGAGTGAAATTTACGTATTTTTGGCATTTGTGGTATTCACTACTATTCTCTCATGGTTTGACCTTTTTTCAATCACTTTCTAAGGGTGTGGTGTTGTTAGAGACACAACATTGAAAATTTAAACTTATATGCTTCGTACAATTGTATTAACTTCAATTTGAGGATCTATAAACTCTTGGCAGTCGGACCCTCCTTCTTATGTTATTCTTCTTTCTTTTTTAACGGTTACTGAGAAGTTTATGCATTGTAAATTGCAGGGTATGATACTATGAAAGGTGTTGGAAACTATGGTGGGGTGAATGGCAGTGATGGTGAACTCAGTCTATCTATGAATAGATTGAAGAACCAAATTAGCTTCTCGTCAAGAAGTCCTTCTTCCTTGGGAATGTTATCACAATCACAAGACTCCAAAATGGGGAGCGAGAGCATAGGGGCAACTAGCCCTGATGACCGGAGACAGGGAGGTAGCAATGGTGATTCTCAATATTATAGTCCTGGATTCCCTTATGGTTCTTGGAATGAGACATCACACCTCTCAGATAAACTCATTGGCTCAAAAAGAGAGCGAAATATTAATGATAAGTTGCTTTCTGATGCTCAGGTATATGGGATGTTCAATTTTCTTATTTTATTGTTACACTTTTTGAGTTTTCATTTCTTGTTCTTAATACAAATTAGCTGTTATATACTCAGAATGAAGAGCTAGGAAATCAAGTTCATACACTATCACATCACTTGAGTTTGCCAAGAGCATCATCGGAGATGTTTGCTATGGAGAATTTTCTTCAGTTCCCAGATTCTGTTCCTTGTAAAATCAGAGCAAAGAGAGGCTTTGCTACTCATCCTCGAAGCATTGCCGAAAGGGTAAGGATATATATATTTTAAAACATCTGGTACTGTGAGGGTGTACGAATTAGAATGGAATACTATAATTCTTGGTATGTTCGCTTACCAAAACTATGAGAAATAGATTATTATGTTGAATTCATGAACTGATATGTAAAAGATTATACTAACAAATAATTCTTTTCAGGTGAGAAGAACTCGGATCAGTGAACGAATGAGAAAATTGCAAGAGCTTGTTCCAAACATGGACAAGGTCAGATTCATCACACAAGTTGATTTGCCCTTGGAATTATAGTGTATTTTGTATTTGGAAGATTAATATATTTTTTTAATTATTATTTGCAGCAAACCAGCACAGCAGAAATGTTGGACTTGGCTGTAGAGTATATTAAAGATCTTCAGAAACAATTCAAGGTACTTAAAAGGAGAAGCTAATTCAGTTGCCCATATTCAACGCCATGCAATACAATTAATGACTCGTTCGCAAGTGCACTAACATTTTTAGTTACTTTATGCAGACTCTGGGTGAAAAACGAGCTAAATGCAAGTGTATAAGCATGCCAAAGTCAGACGAAACAGATCAAATTGCTTGAGTTTCTTTTGTACAGGCAATAAAGTAAGTAGGCAAACATGGATAGGATCGGTGCCTTATATTTTCATGTGCTGAAAAATAAGTTGAAAAAAGCTAATATGAGATGCTATTTTCTTTATTGGGTGTTACACAGAAAGCCAACTTGTAGCTGTTCGCGACAACATTAAGGTTATATAAGCTAGCGGGGGTTTCAATCACACAGACAATAAATCAAATAGTTTATTTGTAATTTTTGTATACAAGAACTCTAATGTATTCATTTTCACGTTATGTTCTGTTTTCACCCCATAGTTATGAAAGTTTTCACACAGAATTTTAATGAGGTATATTTGTCGCTCCTTATTGAATTGATGCATTATAAATGAGTGTAGAAGGATTGTGCGTGGCAGTAGAGAGCATTTCAATTGTATAGTTAACTTTTCTCAACCAGTATGTCATTGAATTGATGATTGTTGAGGGGGCCTTAGTCATAATTGTACTTGAGGACGTAGTTTTACCACAATGCTTATAGAAATATCTCGTACAAAGACTAAAAAAAAAACACAAATCCGAGTTGTATAATGATAAAGTAGGCTACAGTCTGGTTGATTGGTGCTATCCATTGATAAAGATGTAATAATATAAACTGATTTATTTTTGTAAAGGGTGCAAGTGTTGCCCGTATTTTTTTCTTGAATTTTATAGGATTAAAATTACAATACACTTTAAACTAAATGAATTATAAAAAGTTACAAAAGCATAAATGTGCTCGATTGCACTAGTTAAAAAATGAAAAAAAAAGCCATGCCATGCGTTTTTCTTCTGTTGTCGTTTTGGGGATGGTAGGTAATACTAATTTACATGAATGACGTTAGCAAATGGCACTCTCATGAGGTCAAACTTGTCTGTTTAAAGCTGTTTGTGTTCATAGCATATCATTTTAGCCAGAAAAAGCGAAACACCAACCAGAGAGGAGTATTTTTTCCATAAACAACCACTAGTTTGTAGCAGGTCATAAAAGGATATGTAATTCGATTTATAGATAAAGTTTTGTTTTGGAAAGTTTCAAAATATGAATTGGTTTGATATTTAAAATTTGGGGAAAATATTTATCCTCTCAAACACAATCGTTTTAGATGAAACTATTGTATTTTATTTAATATTTAAATTAAAAAAATTTCTTATTTTCTTTCATCATGACTTTTACTGTGTAATCATTTTTCTCACTGTAAAATACAATAATTTTGACTGAAATAATACAAATATATATCTTTTTCAAATGACAAATATTTTACCCTTAAAATTTTAACTAAAAGAGCTACCGCGTAACATGGGTTTAAAAACCTGGACACTGCCCAGATTCAATTCTAATGCGTTTTAAAATTTTCCCTTTTAATTTTAATTATAATAGAAGTTTTTTTTTTTAATAAATCGTATAATAAATTATGTTTGTTTTACTTTTGAATGTGTCGAGCCAACAAGTATTTCTGTTAATTTAAATTTTCCTTTATTTAAAAAGGAGAGGTTATACTTATGGGGAAGAATACTGTAACAACCAAGTTGTGTTACTACCATATTACTACCAATCAATCTCACCGTTAGATCGATTATGTTGATCCAACGATTATATTTATTTTCATCTTTGTATGATTATTATTCTCCATATTTAAAGTGAAATCATTGAATATGGGAAATCATAACCATACAAAGGTGAAAATAAATATAAAGTATTAAATTTGAAAAATTATGACCATACAAAGATGGAAATAAATATAATCGTTGGATCAACGTAATCGATCTAATGGTGAGATTGATTGGTAGTAACACAACTTGGTTGTTACAATATCCTTCCCCTATACTTATTACTTTTATTTTATTTTTACTATCAAATCTTAACTGTTAATATTCGTCAATCTAACGATTACAATATTTGTTATTTATGGAGTTACTTTCCTGGTGTTGCTAGAAAGAAGCAAACTTTCTTGCAAACTTAGATTTTTTTGGGGCTTGAAATTTAAAAACAAAAAAGAAAAGATGGCTTGAAAATTGAAAAGTCTATAGGAATTTTATTTTCTGAGTGAAGACCCAAATTGGTCCTTGACAAAAAATGCGGTGGCCAAATTAATTCCTAAGAAAAATAAACTCGTAAAATAGTCCCCAACAATGTGAAACAGGACCCACGTTAGTCCTTCTGTCAAACCAAAATTGACGGTGTGAGTGACGGTGCTGATGTGTCACGTTAAGTAACATGCTGAAGCCCACGTGGACATCTTGGACGACGTCGTTTTGTTGAAACTCAGCCACCTTGGACAACCCTTTTTTTGTAAAACCCAATTTTGCCCCTCACCTAACTGTTGGACACTTTACCTTTTCCCCCTCTTCTAACATCGACACTTCATTGTTGAGAAAGAAGGAAGAAGACCGTGGAGTAAACCCTGGTGCCTGCGTTTGGAATATTGCGAACGCCTTCCAGAATCGAAGGGAACCAGTGGAAGACAAAGACAACTTGGGAGACTTTGTGAGGCTGAGCATACCGTTCAAAAAGGTATGAGTATTTATATGTTGAAACATTTTTATATTGTTGTTTGTCATCCTTTGTTTAATGCTTGTGGTCCCCATGTTGTTTCCCTTTTGTTTAATGCCTGTTTTTTTATGCACGAAGTGGAACATTGTGGTCCATGTTTCCATTTAGGGTATTGTTTTAAAAGAAAGTAACAACCGGGTGGTGTGGTCCCTGCCATGGTTGACCTATTTAAAAACATTTAAAAACCCCATGTTAATCGTTGGAATACATGTCTGCATCAATAAAAAAAGGTTGCTTTTTTATTGCTATGTATTGTTTAACACTTTCAAAGTTTGTGGCTTCATGGTTTGATGATAGGATTGGTTTTTTGGTTTTGACAGATGTCCGAATACATAGTTAATGTTTATCATCACGGTGGTATGTTTGTCAAAGATGAAGATGGAGTGATGACCTATATATATGGAAGGGTTGACTCATTGCCGAAGATGGACATTGACTACTGCAATATCCGTGACCTTGACACCCTATTTAAGCAATATGGGTATGAAAAATGCAAGATGATGATGTGGCTACAGCCTGGGGTACCCGATTTGGATCTGGGGCTGAGACCTCTTAGTACAGATTTAGATGTGTGTGCTATGTGTGAGGCTGCTTTAGGGAATGACAATGAGATACATGTCTACTTTGAGGGCTGCATCTCAATTCCCCAGTTTGCTTCACCTACACATGACAGTGAAGAGGATAATATCATTAATTCAGCACATAATGAGGACCATGAAGAGGTTGATGATGGGGTCAGATCACATGAAGGTTGTGCACAAGGTGATGTTGGGGTCAAGGAAAATGAAGACCATGCACAAGCTGCTGATGACCTTAGTGCACAAGGTGATGATTGGATGAATTTGGATGAAGACCATGCACAGGCTGCTGATGACCTAAATGCAGAAAGTGATGATGGGATCAATTCGGACAATGATGAAGACAGTGCAGAGGATACTGGTTATGGGTCTGAAGAAGATAATGCAGATTATGACCATGCTACCTCACACTCAGATTCATATGAGAGTGCAGAGGATGAGGTTTACAAGCCTCCCCCACCTGGTGTTGAGGATGATTCAGAAGACGATGATGATGATATGTCAGTGCCAATTGTAGAGAAAGAAAGACCTGCAAAACAGACCCCAAGGAGGAAGACAGTCAAGAAGGATGCCCCAATACAAGACTCTGAATCTGAAGAAGTTGATGAAGAGGAAGCCATGATGTCATTTGAGGAAGAAGGATATACCTATCTGTCCGAGGAGTTGAGGACTCCTCCTTCAAGTGATGATGATGAGAATGTTAGACCTGTTATGCCAAAGTTCAATGAGCAAGCTTCTTTTGGACATGTCTATTTAGAACTTGGTATGGAGTTTATGAATCAGGACCAATTTAAGTGTGCAGTAAAAGATTACAATATCAGTCTTGGGAGGAACTTCGTATGGGTTAAGAATGACAAGGTGAGAGTAAGGGCCAAATGCAGTGTAGAAGACTGTGAATGGATGGTGTATTATGCCTGGAACAGTAAACAAAGCACATTCCAAGTTAAGACTTTTAAAGAGACTCATACATGTTGCAGAGTCTTCAAGAATAAAAGGGCTACAAGAGATTGGGTGGCCAAGAAATTGGAGAAGAGAATACTAACACAGCCCAAGATGACAAAGACAGAGGCATTTGAGCACATGAAGGAGGAATACAATGTGCATTTGGATATGAAGAAAGTAAATAAGGCTTTGAAAAAAGCAAAGGGGACCATTGAAGGTTGTGAGAAGGAGCGATATGGAAGATTAAGGGAATATTTGGCAGAATATTTGAGGAGCAACCCTGGCTCCAGTTGCAAATTGCAAGTTACCCCCAACCTATTCCACAATTATTGCCAATATTTGACAGAATGTACATCTGCCTTGATGCTTGTAAGAAGGGATTCAAAGCTGGATGCAGGTCCTTAATTGGGATGGATGGATGCTTTTTGAAGGGCTATTATGGAGGTTAATTATTGAGTGTTGTGGGTGAAGATGCAAACAAACAATTCTATGTGATTGCATATGCCATGGTTGATAGTGAGACGAAGGATAATTGGAAGTGGTTTCTGACATTATTACAGGAAGATTTAAGGGACCATGCAGTATTTGGTTGGAACTTCATTTCGAATCAACAGAAGGTAAGGTTTTTCTGGTTGTGCTTCCAATTATTTATTTCACATAGAATTGCCATACTTAATTGTATTTTGGTTGTTAATGAATATTTTGTCATAGTCCTGTTGTTGATGAAGCTGTCCTTAGTAATTCTGTTTGGTGATGTTAATGAATATTTTGGATTGCCAAGTTTGTTCCGGTTGCTGTCATTGATGATCATGTAGTATTCTGTTTGCTGTCCTTCGTATGTGTGTTCTGTGTTGTTGCCATTGCCTTGCTGTTAATGAATATTTGCAAGCAAGCTTCTGTTGTTGCCATTGTTGTCATTGATCTTATTGAATATTGTGGATTGTTTACAATATTTTCATCTCTGTTGCTGCCAATGTCATGCAGAATCTGGTGTATGAAATCATGTGGTATGTGTGTTCTGTTTGCCTTGTCTAATGATGTTTAATAACCTTAACTAGTCCCCCACAAATATTATCGAGGACCATTTTAGTCCTTGTTCTTTAACATAAGGGACCATTTTGGTCCCTAACAATTTTATCGGGGGTACAAATTGGTCCCTGCAACAGTTCTTTTAATATGGTCACTTAAAAATCCAGCACTGTAAATTCCCCTTATACATG